AATATCCGGAGAGGCCTAAGATACATTAGTTTTTGGATATTTATAGGTTTCTATATATCAAAATTGAATTCTTCTCGACTTGTGAAAATCGATTTGAAATATCCACATGAAAAATTATAATACCGAATGAATTCTAGTTTCAATACTCAAAAAACCTGATATCCAAAGATATTCGAATGTCTATGTCTAACTGATTATGCAAACAAATAAAAAAATTGCTAACCATTTTAATTCTTGTCACATATAGAGTCATTTCATTCAAATATGTCAAATTATTATAGTTAATATGTAAAATAAATGTTGTCAAAATATTATAGTAAATATAATTAATGAAATAATTAAAAAGTGAAAATGAATGTAAAATAAAAAATAAAAAATTGAAAACAAATACGTTTTGTTTTGTAATTCTTTAATAAATGATATCAATTTTATTTAGTAAAGATTATAAATGAAACTGTTAGAATTAATTAAAATAGAAAGAAAATCTGTAAAAAATCATTTAAATTAGGTAAGTATTATTGTTTTACTACTATCCATGTTCCCAAACACATATTCATTTAGTCTACTATTCTAGTTTCCAAACAACTTCATTGTGTACTTCAACTTTAATAATACTAGGTGACCCACCCGCACCCTGTGCGGGTATAAAAATATAGTATAATGTTGAGACATAAGTATTTATTGAGTTCAAATGTGGGACATAGTGGAACAAGTGAGAGTTTCAATACTGAGACAAGATTTGCGCAAATCTCTAGGATGCAGTAGAGGTGGGCAAATCGTTACATTTTCGGTTTGGTTTGTTTAGTTCGGTTTTAATATTTTTTTTTCAACTGAAATAAACCTTATTTAGTCTGGTTCGGTGTGGTTTATGTCCAGTTCAATTTATATTCAGTTCGGTTTATTTTTGGATCGGTTTAATTAGGCTCTTTGTCGCTTAATTTTTTAAAAGAAAAATTATGTTTTAAAATATATACACAAAAAATATGTGAACTAAATTCAATATTAAACTGAAACAAATACTAAAAAAGTCACAAAAAGTATATAAAAATAAAACAAATGAAACTTAACAAAAGTAAAAAAAAAAAAATTAACATCATTAGTATGTTTTTAATAAAAGTTAACTATTAAAAAAACAAATGTAAGTAAGATATACATGAGACAGTGACATATTAAAAATGTGATAAAAATCTCATAGATATCACAATCCCATAGAAAATGTGATGAAAGTTTAAATATAATTCATAAGTAATATAAAATAAAAAGAACATTTATGAATAAAAAAATCCAATAGAAACCTGCAAAAAACTGTCAATTTTTTTTAGCAATTGTACAATATAAAATAATTTAATAGATTTTTAAATTTATCGAGACGAAAATAATATTGAATTTGCATATCGCTATTGAAACAAACTGAAAAATGGTTTGTAATCAACTACAAACGATCTTTCATCTGTGTTATTTCTCTGTTAATATAAAAACAAACAAATGTATATATATAGTAAATCACATTTTTAAGATCCATATTTATATATATATATATATATATATATATATATATATATATATATATATAAATATAATTAAGATAATAGTTTTGGATTTTCTAAATCTCAAATCACCATTGTGGTTTTCTAAATGGATAATAGTTTTAGGCTTTTCTAACTCAAATCACCATTATCATATAAATTTTTCCAAGGTAATTGATAGCAAAATAAGGTAATCATCATATTACCGATTTAACTAATTAGGAAATAAAGAACATACACATTAATGCAATATCAGATGTATATAGTTACTAATAAATGACATCATAAAAGAACAAGAAATTTACTTAATAGACATATATTTTCACAAAAATTTAACTTTTAAATTTGTCAATTAAATGTATATTTAAAAAAATACTTCCTAAAAAGATCATTTTGTTTAGAATTATATATAATAAAAAATTCAGAATATATCAAATTTAAAGAATAATTATGAATTAATAATCATATTTTATCATTAAGTCTTATGGTTCCTGAAATATTTGTTATAAAAATTCTTGTAAAGACATTTCTTGAGATATATAAAATCTTATGGTTCTTGTAATATTTGTTTTCTTTTAATAAACATGAAGCAATTAAAGAAAAATATTAAAAATTGACTGTCATAAATTTGCAATAATTAACATACGATTTAAGACAAGTAACTGATGGCAAAATAAGGTAATCATCTTATCAACTTGCGCAAGTAATTGATAATAAAATAAGACAAGTTATTAATAAACAAATCAACTAATTAAAAGCTTTTACCAACAAGGTATGTCTTTCCTAATACCATAATATGGTTATAAAATTAAAGAATAATAAATAGTTTTAATTTTGATATATTTTAAATCTATAGAAATATATAATAATTATGTTTTATCACTTATATTTAATATAGAAATTTGTATTTAACCGATTTAATTCTAACATTAGTATTAGAAGTATATACAAAAATGTTACACATATCATATTCTAACTCTGAATTATATACATAATTTATTATGTGATAAATTGTATAAAGTTATATTATAATTGACATAGAACTATATAGTTTATGATGACAAAAAAAAGAAGATGACAAAAAAAAGATGACAAAAAAGAAATATATAGTTTACATATATGAATTTATAGGATATACATTTTATAATATGATAAATTGTATAAAATTATATTTGAGTACAAAGTTGATAAAATGTATAAAACCATTTAAGACAAGTAACTGATGGCAAAATAAGGTAATCATCGTATCAACTTGCGCAAGTAATTGATAATAAAATAAGGCAAGTTATTAATAAACGAATTAACTAATTAAAAGCCTTTACCAACAAGGTATATCTTTCCTAACACCATAATATGGTCATAAAATTAAAGAATAATAAATAGTTTTGATTTTGATATATTGTAAATCTATAGAAATATATAATAATTATGTTTTATCACTTATATTTATTATAAAAATTTATATTTAACCGATTTAATTCTAACATTAGTATTAGAAATATTTACAAAAATATTACACATATCATATCCTAACTCTGAATTATATACATAATTTATTATGTGATAAATTGTATAAAGTTATATTATAATTGACATAGAACTATATAGTTTATGATGACAAAAAAAGATGACAAAAAAAGAAATATATAGTTTACATATATGAATTTATAGGATATACATTTTATAATATGATAAATTGTATAAAATCATATTTGAGTACAAAGTTGATAAAATGTATAAAACCATTTAAGACAAGTAACTGATGGCAAAATAAGTTAATCATCGTATCAACTTGAGCAAGTAATTGATAATAAAATAAAGCAAGTTATTAATAAACGAATTAACTAATTAAAAGCTTTTACCAACAAGGTATATCTTTCCTAATACCATAATATGGTTATAAAATTAAAGAATAATAAATAGTTTTGATTTTGATATATTGTAAATCTATAGAAATATATAATAATTATGTTTTATCACTTATATTTATTATAGAAATATGTATTTAACCGATTTAATTCTAACATCATATCCTAACTCTGAATTATATACATAATTTATTATGTGATAAATTGTATAAAGTTATATTATAATTGACATAGAACTATATAGTTTATGATGACAAAAAAAGATGACAAAAAAAGAAATACATAGTTTACATATATGAATTTATAGGATATACATTTTATAATATGATAAATTGTATAAAATCATATTTGAGTACAAAGTTGATAAAATGTATAAAACCATTTAAGAAAACCATTTGAAAATATAATAATTTCAAAATAAGCTCCCAAAATAAAATTAAAATTATTATCCATAAATAATATAAATTTACGAAGTACAAAATCTCGATAAAGGTGTAGCAAATCCATTAGACACCTGCAAAAAAATATTTTAGTTTGTAAGCCCTAAGACCGGATAAATTTCTGTGATAGATATAAAATAATTTCTGAAATTTATTGTATCTGTAAATAATATTAAATTCTATACCGTCATAGAAATAGGCAGAATGATGGATGGTAATGCAGATAAATTTCTCTGGTACCTCATCAGTACCCATCTTCCAATACCTTGTCAAAAAATAATTGTAAAAGTTTATATATCAAAAAGAAAATTATTTGAAAAAGTATATTAAAATCACGTACGCTGACTACGAAAATTATTTGAAAAAGTATACAAAACTTTTAAACATCTACATGAGACAAAACTGTGTTAAAAAAGCATAAAGGTCAGATCAACGTACCGTTTAGGTTAAGAATCAGTAGCTTTGTTTGTTTCTTACGGTACCAACAAAAATAGCCGAGAGCAACAGTTATTAAAACAACAAAACCAAGGCTTACACCGAGTGTTTACACTCAATGAATATTCACCTGTTGCTTTGTCGAAAATCATAACCAAAACCAAAAAGAGTCTTCCCTTCTTCAAGACCCCATCCAAGCATCTGTCAACAATCATCTCATGGAAATAAAACACAGACTCACGCCCAACAATCTACACAAACCCTTTAACTTGATCAGCAGTAAGACAATAAAGTCCACGGTGATGAGAAGAGAGTTAAAGATGTTTCGTGAAAAAAATTTTAGAACGATCATCCAAATCCAGTATATTTCAGTGATTGTTTTGTTGTTTGTTTGGGAGTAATACGTTGTTGTGGATCAGTGGATAGATCAATTTTGGCATTGATAAGATTCATATACAATAGATGACAACCAAAAACACAGAACTAAACCATTTTTCATTACTCGGCATAGTTTGGTTTACTACAAGTTGCAACAAAGACAATGTCCAAAACAAAATGAACCGTTTGAAAAGTCTATACAGAAACTTGATGTTCTTGATGTGAATCCTAAGCCTGATAGATCTAACTCCAGACGCAGAAACATTTGTTTCTCCTGCGTGTGTAATTTCTAAAAAAGACCAACTGCTAGGGAGTTCTGCAGGTGTTATTATTGTTACTCCTATGTATATAGTTCAGAACTCTAGAACCACCTTACCAGGAATCAGCTTCTTCTCCTTGGCTTCATGAGCTGCTACAACTTCGGTTATCGGAAATGTCTTTTCCACTGGTATCTTTAGCTTTCCAGCTCCAACTAACCGTTGAATCTCAGCTAGACCTTCAGGATCAGCCCTCATATACGTCCACCAATAGTCTGTATTTACATTCAGATTTGATCTGAGTTACCTTTTATTTTCACTCTCAATAAGCTTAATGAGACATGTCTTACTAAAAGAATAGTTCCTGAAACATTAAAGCGAGAGTAATGCAGAGAGAGATCTATCATATACCTATTCCATGAGAGTACTGATATTGTATCTTTTTCTTTGCCAAGAGTGAAGTTGCAAGCGGAAGCCCAATCACAAAACCGTATCTATCAGTTAATGATGCAGCCTCACCCTTCAACAAATCAATACAAGAGAGAATAAAAACACTCTTGTTATGCAAAAGCAAAGGTAGCTCGTAAGGCAGAGACAAAAAGAACTATAATATACCTGGAGAGTCATATAGTTCCCACCCTTCCTCAAGAAGTTTATGCCTATTCTCTCGGTCTCAGGCCGACCAATAGTATCCAACACAGCGTCAAACTTTCCTTTCACGGCCACCTCAATGTCCTGTACATGAAACAGATCCAGGTTCATGAAACCAAGATCAATATAATCATGGCTCTACTTCGGATCAGCAGATAAATAAACAACTTCGGTCTCTACCTCTGTTAAGTAGTCAACAGCTTGCTCGGCACCAGCTGCTAGTATTCTATCTTTGGTCTGACCAACACAAGAGGCTGTAACATGATACCCAAAGGCTACGCCCAGCTGCATTGCAGCAAAACCTACTGCTCCTCCTCCAAAAACTAATAGCCTTTGTCTGCAAAAAGAAAGGTTTGTAGCAATACATTGTTGAGTCCATAGTATTAGACAAGTAACAAGAAAGCATCTGCCACAAGTAGGTAATAGTAGTTTCTCAAACAACATTTAAAATATATTATAGAAGAAACAAAATAAACCTTTCAATCCCAAATATATATACTAATATTTAATGAAGAAAAGAAACCGCATTTCCCTGTACATATACTCTACAAGTTTCATTCATTGATCCAATTTACATATAGCAAAAGAAAAGTAAGATGCATGAACATTACAATAGAAAATACGCGCTAAGCAACGGTCATAATAAACAGAAAATAATGGAAGATGGGTAGCTAAAACCATACCCTTCGAGTATCCGAGCATTACTCTTCAACGCACGCCAAGCAGTCAACGCAGCAAAAGGAATAGCACTTGCATCCTACAAAAAAACAGCTGCAATCAAAATGTCTAGCCAAATAAACACATTCAATCATTCAACAGAGAGGTTTAAAGTGTCTACAGATCTATCCTACTTACCACATGACATCGTTAATATATACTGAATTACTTTCCTAATGGTATGAGATTGACATCTTTGGCATTTAATTTTCAGCTTGTTTCGCAAGTTATCGAATATAAAGTTAGCTCTCTAATTAACGTAACCAAATATTTGGGATACGATTTATCGAATATTATATAAGATTCCCAAAATTAATGTTAGCTCTCTAATTAATGTTCCCGAATATTATATAAGGCAAGTAATTAAGGTAAACGAATATATGAGATATGATTGTCAAACCATTTGCACAGCGAAAATTAAAAAAATACCAATGAAAATTGAAAAAAATCAACCAATCAGATTGTCAGAATTTCTCTGAGAAGGCATGTGTGAGTGACACGTGTCCAAGTGACTTCTCTTTTAATGTATAGGAGGATAGATGTGACCAACATCTTTATAGTAAAAATATGTTTAAACTATGGTATATGTAAGGTGTCTTAGAATTTTGTTAAATAGAATTTAGAAGGCAAAGAAATATGCCACATAGAATCTCGTAATAATCCACTCAAAAAAATGAATTTTTCTTTAGTTATAATTTTTTTAAATGATCCTAAAATAATATATAGGGGATTAACCTATTCAACCAATATATCTTATATCCTATATATTAAAATAGAAGTCACCATTTCAGCTTACCTGTGATTTTTCTTAAAAGTGACCTCCTTAGAAAATCATGTTTCATAATACATTATAACATCCACTACTAATATATCGTATTGGTTAACAAAATGATAGGTTAAAATCATATCCGATTTAACTAATAAATCAACCTCACTGCCCTTCAATTCTTCTTCGCTTATGAATAAACAGAACCACAACAGAGTGCCATGAGAATAACGGTGACTCTCTCTCCTTGCCGAGTTTCTTCCATAGCCTCTTCTTCTCAACCGCTGATCGCTTCATCACGGGAACTTTGAACCTTAAATCCAAATACTTACTCACTCCTTCGCTGCTACGATTACTACCACTGGAATTATCATCATCACCTTTGTTGATCTTCTTCTTGGCGTTTTGATCTTCAAAGCTCAGATCACTAAACTGCAAGGAGCAGAAATACTTTTTTTTTTTTTGGTAAAAGGAGCAGAAATACTTCTCGACACTTTTACACCTAATCAGGTACACTTTTAAAACTAAACTGATTTCACATTGATTTGTGTTCTGTATATTGGTATTGGTTATCAACAAACATTATTGCAGGCGCAATGAAAAGGAAATGAACTGATCCACCTATTCAAAGATCACAATCACTGCTATATATAATGGTTGTATAATTCTTGGCGTTCTTCAAAGCTCAGATCACTATCATTGCTATATATAATGGTTGTATAAACAGAGACACAAGAGAGCGCCATGACAATAACAGTGGCTCTCTCCTCCTCGCTCACTTTCGTCCATAGCCTCTTTCTTCTCAAGTCAAAGATGATGCTAAACCATCACAGAGAAAGAGCAATCCTTCTGAAGCTTGCTCGCCAGCTCAGAAAAGAAAACAAAAGCACAAAGTTGTCACACCAGTTGCACAATCAAAGATGAGACCTAGAAGCAGAAGCAATGAAGGCAAAAAAGCTGGTAGTAGTAGTGATCCTTTTTTGAGCTTCATAATAGTCTTCAGCAACGCAGAGGTTAATATCAACAAGTGTAAAAAAAGTGGTAACTTTCAACAGAGGTTAATATCAACGCAGAGGTTTCTTCTTTCAGCCATTAAGTAAACCTGCTTTACGTCTTCCTTAGCTTTTATACTGTTGTTTTTGTGTCATACATGATATAAACTCAAGTGTAAGGTTGCAAGGATTATGTTTTAGTTGAAAGTTTCAAGAGGAGTTTTTTCAAGAGGAGTTATATTCATAGATATTTCCTTACATACTTATTTTACCAACACACAGAAAACTGCAAGTGTTTACATCCAGCCGTATCACATATGTAGACAGACCACTTATAAATTTTAAAACCAACTCCTATCAACAACATATGTATCGATATATATATATATATATATCAAAATGGAGCATATCAACAATAATATATCTTATATCTAAATCGTTTAGACTAGTTCATCATATAACTTTTCACGTTTAAAATATTCGTTACAAATAAATATTGATTTTATTTTAATTGTTTTAAATATATATATATATATATATATATTCTATTAAAATAAAATTTGTGATTTCTTTTATGTGTGCTAATTTTATTTAGACCATTTATTTATTTTTATTAAATGTATATCCTTAATTCTGATAATATAAAATACTTTTAACTATATATAAATTCTAGCAAATCTGTTGAAAACAATTATAACAAGATCTTAATTGTCAAAAATTGAACAAAAATATTTTCACTAATTTCACAATTAGTCATGAAATGTTATTATACATTATTTTTTATATATATATATATATATATATATATATATATATATATATATATATATTTAGCTATATTTTATAAAATGAAAATAATTAAATTATATCCTATTTTATCTATTTTCTAATAATATCTATCATTTTAAAAGAAAACCATTATATTGAACTAAAAATGATACCGTTTTTGAAATTGATAAGTTAATATATTTATGTTAATGAATATAAAATATTTATTCTAAAAATATAATATGTTCGTAGAACAGGTTAACATTCGTAAAACTATATAATTCATGTGTAAAAGACAATTTATCTAAAAATTTTATATACAATAATTTATTATATAAAATGAATAAATATAAAAATTAATAATCTAGCGTTTTTAATTACGAATTATGATAATAATAAATTATAAAAAAAAAATTCAAATATGTTTTTTCATACATAAGAAATTAGTTTAATAATCAAACGTAAATTCAAGAAGAAAAATTCATTGATGCTGCACACAAACCATAAGTCTTTTATACCTGAAATAATTTAAGATTGATAACATTTTGGTTTGGCTTGGTAGTGGTCAATCAGTAATCTCTATAGCCTATCTACAAAAACCCAAAACTATTATCGATTTACAGAAGCCCAAATATAATGGGTAGTTTAGTTAACATTTTAGTTTGGCTTGGTAGTGATAAATGAGTAGTGATCCTCCAAGATTTAGAGAAGCCCAGATATAATGGGGATTTAGATTTGGGATCTATAATTAATGGCTTCTTTCGGGATAAAAAGTTGGCTAAAATATCTTACCTTATTTTGGATTACTTGCGCAAGTTGAATAATTAATTCGAGTGATTAATAACTTACCTTATTTTCAAATTTAATTTACTTGCGCAAGTATTTTTCATATTTATTACATTGTTTAAATGGAATCTACTTTAATGTTTCTTATTTGCTAATTCGTTTTAAACAACATACCTTATTTTGAATATAGATTTAAACTTTTTCATTATTTATGGAAAATATCCCAGTAATAACTCTCAACATGGAAGGTATTAGTATATATAAAGGTAGATCCCCAGGGTCTTAAAATACAAACGTTTTCTCTTTTGCTAACAATTTTTTTTTTTTAAATGGCAATGGTTCAAGCCTCCAAAAACAGAGTTGATTATGTTAGAGAATTAAATCCGTGTAAAGATACGTCACGTATTGAAGTGAGGATAATTTGGTTGTGGAGAAATTATAACAAAGAATCTGGAAACGCCATTGGGATGGTTTTCATTAATAAAGAAGTAAGTAATGATATTACTATATTTTTTCCAATTCAGAATCGTCTACATTTTATTTTTATTTACAATGAACTAAAATTTACAATTGTAATAATGTTTCAGAACAACTTATTATGCTTTCACATCACTCTTATCATTTAATCATCTTTTTTTTTTATAACACTGATTTAATTTAAGAGTTCAACAAGATAGAAAAAGTAATAACTGAGATACAATAGGATGTCAATAGACACCAAACAAAATGTTAGGGATCTCACCAAAACCTCATTGTTGAGCCTCCAGCGCGAGTAGGTGATGAAGCCACACCGGAGCGTTACGGGCAATGTACGATTGATGACGAAGGTCANGATAGAAAAAGTAATAACTGAGATACAATAGGATGTCAATAGACACCAAACAAAATGTTAGGGATCTCACCAAAACCTCATTGTTGAGCCTCCAGCGCGAGTAGGTGATGAAGCCACACCGGAGCGTTACGGGCAATGTACGATTGATGACGAAGGTCACGCGTGACGCTCAAAGCAATTGCCGCTGCAGCTTCATTGCATTCGGGAAGGGCGTGATCCAAACTCCATGAATCAATCCTTGCAAGGAGGAAGTAAATGCTGTGATGAATATGGCTGAGACTAAGGTTATTCGTCGTGGTAAGAGCATCATGTAGGGTTGCAGAGGCAGTCTCAAAAATAATATTTGAGAAATGTAGAGTATGCAAACAATCGACTGCCCAAAAGAGAGCCCACAAATCTGCTTCTGTCTTTGAGCGCATACATGAATAAGCACGACGGCTATGCAAGATTGTGAACCCTTTTTCATCCCGAAGGATCCAAGAAGCACCCGCAGTATGGCTTGAATGCACCCACGAAGATCCGACATTACATTTGAGGAAACCAATGAGTGGTTTTTTCCATTTAATGGTTTCCGAATCGACCTCATCTCCTCCATCCTTCCTACCAGTGAAAGTATCAAACCATGCTTTTATATGTATATCATTTAATCATCTAACTCATAACTTTTATATGTATAATCATGGGACAAGAATTCATGCTTTGGTTGGTGAACAGCTCATCAAAAAGTATGAAGACAGGTTAACTGAGGGGGATGTGATAGTCGTCCAGTTGTTTAAAGTGTACAATGCTATTGGTGATTATCGGACGACCACGCATCCATACAAAATTGGCTTCTATCGAACATTTTTTGTTGGAAAAGCTGATGATTTTCCAAGTGAAGTTCCTGAAAAGTATTTTGCGGATTACAATGATATTCTTGGTGGAGAGATTGATAACAACTATTTGGTTAGTGAGTCAATATCTATACTATCTATCATGCACTAATAATTTATATAGATTTTAAAACTAAGCATGAATTAAATAAGGTATTATGATATTTAGGTTAAAAGGAAAAAAAAAGATTTAAGTTAGATATACTTTCGGTTTTATTATACTTGTGTTTGATATTTTGCTTTTTTTTTTGTTATGTAGATGTTATTGGTCAAATAGTTAACTTCGGGTCACTTGAAACAAAATGATTAAAGGAAAAGATAACATGATGATCTTGATTGAGTTACGTGACCAAAACTAGTAAGCTTAACTACTTTATTTTTCCTTTTATTTTCTAGTTAAACATGTATATTCTATATATTAACTTTACTTTATATTATACAGTAATGTGAAGATGATGTGTAATCTGTGAGGTCGTTACGCTAAACAAGTATACGATTATAGTATGAGTAACATGTCCACAATGATTATTTGTGAGGTTCTATCCTGTTAAAGAGTGTAAAAGTATATAACATTGTTATGTTTCTAAAATTATTAAGTGCACAACATGTTAATCAAATCTAAAATGTTGTAGGTACTTACTCCATATCTAACGGGTATAATTCAAACCATATAGTCCTCCGGGAATGGAGATTGTTAGACTCTTCAAAAAAAAAAAAAAAATTCAAACCATATTTTGCTCAATCCAACATTGGATTTGATTGACCAATTCAAAGTAAGGTACTCCTCCAGTTTGACAGCTTTTGTAAATTAATTCTGAATTTATATACAGTTTGACAACATACTACAATGTTTTTATTTTATGTGGATCTTGAGTTTGCAGTCTCCCTATTGATTCTCTTACTCTTACAAACAACGATAGCACCCAATAGTTTGCTGGAACTGGTGTATATGTTTGTGGGAGTATCTTACTGGATATATCCTTTACAAGAAGCGACGAGACAATTTGGTAAGAATTTTTTCAATTGATTTTTTTATATTAAATTTACAGGTATTTAATATCAAATTGGCAGATATGAACTTGACCATAGAGCAGATCAGAAATATTGCTCTTACTGAGATTGAAAATCATTTGCTCAGCAATGGTCGTAGTATCAAAAAATGGACCCTTATGCCAAAGCCAGAAGAATTTGGCTCTTACAACGGCAATCACCTTATTGATGATGAGCTTGAATATGATGTGGAAGATCAGCTAAAGGAAAATGAAAGACTTATGGGGATGATAACATATGAGCATAGAGGAGTATACAACCAGATTTTGGATGCAGTTTTAAATGATAGCTGTGGAGTGTTCTTTCTTTATGGTTAGGGAGGCACAAGAAAAATCTTCGTATATCCGATATATAGGTCTGATTGTCCTAAATACTTCATCCAGTATTTACTGATGGTGCACCAAAAGAGCTTGAATCTCAAAATGGGTTTTGGATATTGGAGATGGAAAAATAAATTTGCCTAACGACGGCCAAGTTGAGATTGACATCCCTTTGGATTTGCTGATAACAAATAATGGAGAAGATCATATTCAAGCTATAGCAAAAGAGGTTTATGGACAATCTTTTCGGACATCAACAGATAAGGATTTGTATAGACATCGAGCCATTCTGACTCCCACAAATGATGAAGTGGATAAGATAAAATGATTACATGCTTTCTCAGTTGCCATGAAACATTTTTTTATCATTAACTCTTATGTTCAACTAACTACTTACATGCCTTTAAAGAAAATGATTGACATATAATGCTTTTAAGTGAAGAGAAGGCTTACCTTAGCTCTGATAGTATTATTCCATCTGATGTTGACATAAAAGAAAATGTGGTATATCTTACAGAGTTTTTAAACAATGTTAAAGTCCCTGAACTGCCTAGACACTGTTTAAAGATCAAGGTTGGTGCTCCTATCATGTGTCTTTGTAACATGGATGTTACAGATTACTTATGTAATGGTACTAGGCTAATTGTTACTCAGTTATTCCCCCATGTGATACCAGGTATGATAATAACGGGAAACGATATTGCTAGAGAGTCAGTTTGGATCCCGAGAATGTTTGTCACACCACCTGACACAAAGGTTCCCTTTACAATGAGTCAAAGACAGTTTCTAGTTAAGTTGGCTTTTGCGATGACTATCAATAAAAGTCAAAGTCAAACACTGCAAAATGTTGGTTTGTTTCTACCTAGACCAGTGTTCTCCCATGGCCAGTTATACGTTGCATTTTCGAGAGTAAAGTCGAGATCTGGATTAAAAAATCCTAATAACGGATAAACAAGGGAAGCTGCAGAAAATACTAACAAATTTTTCAGAATATTTGACAGTGAACGAACGGTACACAATTTTAGTCTAGTTTATTTGATAAAAATTTAAAAATTTTAAATTCTTACATTTGTTTGTTTCTTCTATTAATAGATGAATAACACAGGCGAAATACCGGTTGTAGTTAACTACAAACCAGTTTTCAGACTATTTCGATAATGGTATATAAATTTAATATTATTTCATATAAATAAAATTTAGAAATTTCTTAAAATTATTTGATATCATACACTTGCTAACAAAATTAAATAACTTTTTAGAGGTTTCGTTGGGATTTCCGAAGGGAATTGTACTTCTCTTTTATATTACTTATGGATTATATTTTAATTTTATCATATTTTATTTTAATATGTCACTGTTTTAAAACAAAAATAAAACCTAAATAGAATATTTCACCTAAAATATACAATTACAACATTCATACAACACAACTTCATTTAGTGATAATATAAAATATGTAACTTCTAAAACTGAACACTATTAATTTTTCATATTTTCAATATTTTATGCCTGCACAGGCTGTTTCTGGAAGAGGAGCTATGCAACTTGTTATTTATCTCTACTATACTTTCATTCTGGAAATTTACGCAGACCTAGTCTCAACATTGAAACTCTCACTTGTCCTACTTTCTTCTACATTGAAGATGCACGGTATGTTAGTATCAACTTTCTTGCATTTACAATACATGGAGATCAATGAGTTCAATACTTAAACATTTCTATCAAATCCAACTCACGATATCGCACTATATTTTTATACCCGCATAAGGTACGGGCCAGTCACCTATTTGTATGTTTTTATCTCACTGTTTTTAAAATCTAAATAGAGAATATATGTTTTGTTGATGTTTTATGTGTTGTGATTGTTTATAACTCTTCTTTTCAGTGTCACTAGATTTCTTTTCAGTCCACAAATACAATAACTATATATTAAAAAAAAGTTTTTAAATTCAAATCTAAGTTTCCTATTTTGATTATTCTTATAAATTTTTTTTCGATCCAACATCTACATCGTATAAATAAAAGGGGAATTTGCCAAACAAAATGACCTAAAACTGATTTTAAATGCAAAAGTGTACCCCAAATTCAATTAAATCCAAAAAGTAACCAAAAAAGCAAGTGAAATTACAACCAACCCCTTATGACCAAAAAATATATGTATGTACTTTTACCATTATAACTCTGGGGGTGAGAAAACTTCAAGGAAATTCTTCTCTAACCAGACTTCCCTAAAAGTCTTCTCATACAGTAGATCTTAAAAATAATTTAATTTTTTTTAAGAAAATATTTATACGGGGGAAAATAGAAATCATGTAGATATAAACATTTTTTAATGAGAAAATTATAGATGTAGTAAAACTAAATTGTTTTGATCATGAATGAGTGAATGTAGATTGAGTCATGATATTCTTTGGTTTAGTGTTTAGTAATATATTTTATAGTATTGTTTGTATTCTTGGGGTTACATTTGAAATCTTAACTTTTTATAAAAAAAATAAATTTTACCTATATGAATTAAATTTTGTCTATATTAAATACTTTAAAAGTCATTTTAAGTTTAATAAAGTGATGGTTGCTATTTATTTAGTTATTTTATTTGAGGATTTAGATGACTGATTGGAAAGATTTCTAACAAATAATGCAGGAGAAGACTTCAAAGTAAGTTTTTTTGGACGAATAGTAAATTTAGGGTCTAGAAGACTTCTAGGGAAGTTAGATGTAATTCTTCATAAAAGATCTGTATCAAAAATATATAACCTAACTAGAATTTTTGTCACAACATATAAATGAAATTTACATATTCTCTTTCTTTCTCTCAAATAGCTGCAATAAAAATGTAATGTTTCTCACTCTAAACCTCTTCAATCTTTCTCTAATCTCTTTGAACTTGATAACACCACACCCTATATCAATTTCTCTTTTTTTTTTGTATCTTTCTCAATAATTTATCTTATTTTTAAAGGTTTTTCATTATATGGTCTTCATCTTTCACTCTTATAAAGGTAGATCAATAAATTTTGGATATGTATTTTGTGCTTTTACATGTTAGATTCTAAAAAGTAGTAGATTCAACATAATATGATTTCTTTATTTATGACTTAAGCATTTAAAATTATTTTTGAAGTTTTTTTGTATGTTTTGATGCCATTTGAACGTTTTTGGACATGCAAGTTTTTCAGATCTGGGTCAGAATTTAAAAGAACTCACAGAAGTAGGACATGTTCTAATGCATTTTATGCCGGAAAACTTCCAGAAAAATCTTCTAACCCAAAATATCTCCATCTAATTGGGATTTGTCTATTTATTTAAAGAAAACTAAGTGTTTTCTTGCACAATATGCAGCAATAATTGTTTAAAATTTTAAATAAAAATAATATTCTGTTAATATTTTGTGTTTTATTATTTTCCGACCAATATTTCAATATAAGTTTTAGCTAAAATAAATACTTTGTATTAATTTAAATTATTTTAAGATTATATTTATCCATATTTATTTTTAATTATAATCTTAAAATAATCAGTTATTTCTTTTGGTTAAGAAATACTAAACCAATTTGTATAATGTTTTAACAAAATTGATATAAACCTTAAAAATTATAAAAATAATATTAAAAATTCTAAAATTTGTAAATACCAAAGGGAAAAAATGGTATTATAATTAAAAGTTTATATATTTTTTTAAAGTGTATAAAAGTTTGAAAATCTTCTTTAGTAATAAAATTTATATGGTTATAAAGTAGAC